ATATATATATATATATATATATATATATATATATATATATATATATATATATATATATATATATATATATATATATATATATATATATATATAATCAATTCAATTTTCACTATCCTGCCTTTCTTACCTCCATCAAATTTTTCCTCCTAATTAATTAACTAATGATTTCCGCCTCATCTTTTTCTATCCAATATTATTTTTTCATCGCTTTCGCTTCCTCTCATCTTTCATTTTCTATCTATACCGGTAATTAGATGCATAATTAGTTGTTATTTCATAAATACATATATGATTATTATTGTTGAAATTGCTTCAACTCATTTTTTTCGTTTTTTTTTTCAAAATGCTCAAACAATAAATTTCTAAGTCTTTCTTTTTTACATTCATAATAATGAAATTTACTTTTACAGTAAATAATGAAATTTGCTCGAACAATAAATTCTTTTTGTCTTACTTTTATAATAATAAAATTTAGGTAATAATACTGTGAATTTTTTTTTGCTTATTCATTTATACTTTAAGGTAAAAAATTTTTCAATATAACCAAATCAATCAATTTTGTGAATAATCTTATTAATTTTATATCAAAAATTAAATTTCGGAAAAGTATTTTATCATCCTACGCTTATTATAATGATTATTTCATCAAATTAAACGCAATCACTTTATCAGTTATTATCAACAAAATGATTTGTTCAATTGAATCCACGTAATGATTAAGTCTTCAATGATAATTTTATTGTTATTATCTTTTTTTTGTATAAATAGGAGAATTAAGGAATTTTATTATTACGCCATAATGGGAGGTTTTTGACGCTACCGTAATCTACTTCAATAGTTTGAAAGCGTAGGTATTCTTCGATATTTTATTTAATAAAGACAAAATTCAAGGAACCTTTGGGAAAATTATTCATAAAGAATGTCCAGATGATGAAGTCTTTCTTGAGTAGATGATGAAAAAGGATATGAAAACTGAATAAGAAAGAGTAAAAATATCAAATTAAGAAAATTAATTAATATTCGATAATGATAATAATGATGGGATATGATTTAAGAAATTTCCGGAGAAACATTTGGTTCATTTTTTTTTTCTCCTCCTCCTTCTCTCTCTCTCTCTCTCCCTCTTCTCTCTCTTTTTTACATGGTATAAGAAGCTGAAGAATTTTGTTAGAATTTAAATTACTTATCGATAAAAACGATCATTCTATTAGCTAATTAATTTTGCTAAAAATATGATATTTATGGTTCAAATTTTGATTAAAATCGATTTTGAATCTACGAATTCTAGCTGGATCATTTAAAATTTTTCGTCAATGAATTAGAAAAAGCAAAATGATGATGATGATGATGATGATGATGATCACAATAGTAACAGTAATCAAGAATTATTGTAAGTACAATGAATGAGTTTTTTTGATACAATTCAGACAATCCCTATTGAATCAATCGGGAAAAATAGCCTAGCATAGGTAAATCTTAATTAAAACAAGAAAATAGACAATAGAGTTTTCCAGAAAAATTATCTTAATTGCCTGTATTTTTATTTTTATTTTTTTTTTTGGTTTATTCAATTAGCTTTTGCTATACAATAACAAAGATTCGGAATGTCTGGAATTATTGTTATTTCTCGCCAATTTAACCAACCAG